ATGATTTTTCCACTTCTAGATTTATATTCTAGAAAAGTGGTTGTTGCTTTTTGAAAATGCATTCATTTTCCTGCTAAGTATTAGTCTGTCTGGTTGAAAAATGTTACAAAAGTGTGTACACACACCAATGCAAAAGAGTCACAGCTCTTGCTTTCTTATCATCAGGGCCCAAAAAGCTCTGATTCATGAGATATAAAGTGGTAAAGAGGTGATTGAAATTTGCTGGAATTGTTAGTTGGGGGAGGGAAAAAAGGGTCTGAGTTTTGAGGAGACTAGACACAATAATAAGGGTGGGTTTGAGTAGACCCACAACCAACTTTGGCCCATGATGTGAACTTGACCATAAGCCAACCAAAATGGAAACACCTATTCCCTTTCCCCCCATGTGACCACAAACAGTAGTTCCTTCCTTTGTTTACTTCACTTTTATACCTTTTTGGATCTTATATTATTTTTACGGGACACACTTCACGAGAAATTATTAATTAGTTCCGGGACCAATGTTAACATAAAGTCGATACACTTACTTATGTGTTAGCACATGAGCAAGTGTTTTGACTTTATGTCAACATTAAACTATTGTTCTGTTTATAGTGTGCTGAGACATAAGTAAGTGTATCGACTTTATATCAACATCAATTTATTTTTACTTATGTGTCAGCATGCGATTGGCGTACCTAACAATTTCTCCACTCTTCATTACACTAGCATCTAAATCTTTTTTTTTTTTTTTTTTTCCACTTGATGAGATTACTCTCTCCCTTGTGTATGTGCCAGAGTGCATGTTGGGGACAAACTTATGTGGTGCACGAGTGTAAACTATATATATATATATATATAAAAGGAAAAGGGTAGAGAAAGAAAAGTCGTTATTCCTTTTAATTCCAATCTTGTCATGAAAACCCTTGTCGTTGTGCTTTAAGTTTGAGTGCATTTTGGAGAAAGTTAAGCATATCATGGTCCTTAATAAGTGATACTTAGTGACGAGGGTTAGTTCTGTACACGAAACTCTCATTATATCACATGTATGTCTTATTTTCGCGTACAAGAAGACTGTTCTATTTAGAATCCATGACCTGTAAGTTACAAAAAAACAAATTTATTGTTGTGCCAAGTTCCACCCTCGAAAATAGTAGTATTTACACTAAAATTTGCATGGGAACAAAATAGGGCTGGGGTTGAGGGTAAACAAATTTCCCTCTCGTCCCCCAAAAGAAGTAGAAGTGGTGTCAATAGGTACTGAAAGTGCTATGACATTTGAATAGGGGCAGTTTGGTTATTTCATATCAACAATGATTTGTAGTAAATGTTTTACTTACCTGAGTTTTTATATAATTAATTATATAAAAACTCAGGTCCTCAGAGCATATTTAGGCACTTTCCCATCCAACGTTTGGTATAAGCAGTTGTTAATGGAAATCAGTAAACGAATCAAAGGGACCACTTTGGTGCCTATTCTATAGTCAACTAATGAAATTAGTCCTATTCCCAATCATTTTTATAATCAATCAAACAATGAATCAAAACAACTGCTTTTGAATCCACTCAATAATTCACCAGTGAAATTGAATGTAGAGAATGTTTACATATAAAATAAAAGTTATAAGATTAAAACTATTTAATAATGTAAGTAACAATCTTAAGAGTATTGGGATTTGGGACTCCTGCCTCCTTCTCACAAAAATAAAAAATAAAAACAATAACTTTAAATTATTGAGTAGTATTGTATATTCCTAATATATATCCTATTTATTTTTTATCTTGATCCGACGTGAGATGAGCACTCTAACACTCTGCCCACTCCGAATTCATAATGTCTTTGTTATAGTTGAATCGTCCTACCTGCGTGACACATGACTTAGACCACTTTTCTAACATGCGCTTAGTGTGACATCGGATTAAGAATTAGGTCCGACTCTAATACTCACCTAACAAATTGAACGTTTGCCTTTGATTCAAAAACTAAAGTGTTACGTACCCCTCCACAAATACCCCTTTCATTTGTTCTCCGGATTTCAAGTGGACGAACCTCTACCACTATTCTCCTCCACTGTCAAAACATTTTATTAGAAGCAATATTTAATAACTAAATAAATAACACTCCCTCCCTCCCTCCAGGAAAGGAGGGGCAAAAATCATGTCAAGACTCGGGCCAAGTCAATTCAAAGTCAAGTGATATATAATTTTGAACAAAAATAGGAAAAGACGGACACTTTTATTATTATTTAAAATTTCAGTCCTGTAAAATAAATTATTATAATAGGGACAACATATGTATTCCAAAATTCTAAAATTTGTATTCAAATGTTGTTATTGACCGTTGCCGGATGGGGCATATTGGGCATAGAGCAGGTCAATATGATTTTTTTTAATCCAAAATCATATTCAGTAATCATTAAACCATAAATTATGAAACATCAAAACAATATGGTTTTCTATATAAGTAGAATTAATACTAAATATGTTGGGCTTTTTTCGTATTCTGGTTGATTCCATATGGTATCCAGTCAAAATTGTTGAAATCTTTGTTTGGTTCTTAATTAAATATATCTTTTAAGATTATATGTTAGTACGAATTCAATTATTTAAAATAAAAATCAAATCTAGTAACAATTTTGAATATATTTTCATATAAATCCAATATATATATATATATATATTACATTTTCAAAATATCTTTGACTAGACTCCCTATTTTAGGTTTAATTGAACCCAAGTATATATGCGCCAAAACAGTAAGGACTAAGGAGATGCCTTAAGAGCATTTCCAGTATTTTATTAAAATATTATTTTGTGTAAAATATACATTAACACATATAATGTATACATTTTTTTTTTATATCTACAGTAGTCTGTTAAGATACACAAATATGTAATATTTTTGTGTATTTTATATAATTTTTTTACACAGTCATATCAGCATATTTTCTTTATCCTCCTCATTTTTCATCCCATTAACGAATCAACCCTATATTAAGTAAGTTTGTATAAGTTATGAGGGGACACAAGATATAAAATAATAGGTGAAGCTAAAGATGAATAGTTTAATTTGTATAAATCTACTATAATACATCAGATTTACAATAAAAAAATATATATATACACAATTGCCGGAGATGCTATATTGGTCAGATAGAATTTGTATAACAATATTTGATTATTTATTTTTTATATGAAATTAGCAACTTGAACTTGTTTTAATGTGTTTTGCTTTTTACTGTGATATTCTCATGTTTGGAATGTCCTGTCAATGAGAATCCTATTCCTCTAGAAATGGGATCCCCACAATTCCTATTTTGCCCCTACCATGGCAATCACTTTCCCTCTATGTAGGAAACAAAGTAAAATTCGACAAAATTTTAGATAATTTTGTGTGTGTGTGTATATATTTGGGGGTTCTTGATTCTTATTGTACTTTGAATGCAAGTTTATGGATCAAACATTGCACATATCTGATTCACCTGATATAAGATTTGGTATGTAGGCATACGATTATGATAAGATTGTATAATTTAATAGTTGGAAATGGCATAAAAAAAGGAATTTAATAGTAAATTGATGAGGTGTAAGAATGCTGCTTTGAAAATTCTAGAGAAAGTTGGCGCGACTATTTTCAGTGCTCGGGTGGTGGCGTTACACGACATAAATATAAAAACAAGTCGAACACACCCAAAAACAGATGAGCGGGTAAGTTTGGATGACAAAATTTGACTCGAACTTAGACTCAACATATTAATAAATATAGTTTGGACTTAATTATATTAATGTTAAAATCATGTAAATCTGATTAATCAGATTATTAATCTATAGTTATGTTTGAGTTTGAAGACATCACTTGTTAAATTCGATTTGATTAGTCTGCGACCTATCTCAGTTTGTATAATAAATAATATATTTAAATAAGTATGAAACTCTAATGAAACCTTGATTAATTGTATGATTTATTGAGATAAAAATGAAAAATATAGTCATTTGAACCATTGAGACAATTGAGACATTTGAGACCAAAAATATTACTTCAATAGACATTTAAGAGAAGTGAGTCTATGGTGAAAAATATAGTCATTTGCTTTCGTCCTGAAATTACCAAAAAAAATCATTATTGTCCCCCATCTAATTTTTTTGGGTCCGTCGGTGCCTTTATTCACAAGAGCATACAAGTGCACATACATTTTGTTTTCCTATTCCAACAACCACTATCCTTGCAATAGTTGATATTATCTCTATGCATATGAAAACGAATTGACCTACCTCATTTTTATCTTTTTACTAACAAAGAATTTTTATTAAATTTTATTAATTATAATATAAAAAAAAGTCTATAATTTTTTGTATCACTAATAAGTATATGTGTGTGTGTGTATATATATATTTTGTAGGGTCATTGACTCATTGACCTTCCCTCTAGTGAAATAAAAATAAAACCATCTCCATTACACTTTCATAAGTTACACTACCCTTCTTATGATTTACTTATAATTTAGTAGCAGATTTTGTCCAACATCAATTTTTGCTTAGGTCAGTAAACATATATTTTTTAAATACCAACTTTGCCCCTGAAAAAATTGTTAAGGGGGAGGTTAGTGAGGGTAAACTAGTAAACTAGTCACTTTCCGTTGGGTGAAGTGAGGAGTAGTTTCCTATAGTGAATCCGTCAACAGTGAAACATTCAACCCAAATATGGTTTTGGTTGACCAAACAAGAGAATGTGGTTGGAGTCGTATGACTAAAGCAAAACTAGAGTTAGGTCCAAATATTAAGACATTTGAACCATAGACTCACTCATTCAGAAAGCAGTCAGACTCATGCTAGATGGACATGGTCCAACTAGCACAAATGCCCATTAAGTGGTATAAAAATAAATAAATAAATAACACACGTGGCAAGTCACGCTTATGCCAAACTATCCTTCATAAGTTCATAGCAGATATATATATACACACAAACATATATATATATATATATATATATATATAAGCACTTACCAAAAATAAATGTTTATATATATATAGACACCCCAAAACATTTGCATCACCCTTTATGTTCATTTCTCTCTCTCTCAAAACTCGAAGGCTCAAGCTCAAGCCTCTGTCACTCTCTCTCTTGTAGCTATATATATATATATGAACATGAATGATTATGGAGATGATAGGCCGTGTTGTTATTTTCATCCCAAGGAGGTGATTGTAGGGGTGTGTCCCTTGTGCTTGAGGGAGAGGCTTCTCATCTTGGCATCAAAAGAAGGGCACCAGTCCCAAACTAAGGGCGCCTACGGGAGTCACAGTGCCCTACACAGCAGGAAGCCCCACATCACCCTCCCCAAGATCTTTGCTCTGGGTTCCCTTCTCAACCGCCTTGAGCTCCGCCACAAGAAATTTGATGATTCCGATGATCACCATGTTGATTATACTACATCCACCAGTCATGAAGGTAGATTTTCTTGTCTTCTGATGAATTTGGTTTCTTTTTTAATTTTATTTTTTGTGGGTGTTTTCTTGAGCTTCCATCAAAAGTATAGAAATATGTTGATTGATTGAAAAAGAAACATCTTTGGGTCTTTGTGTGTGAATGTGTGCATACACACACACATATATGTGACTATGTACGTGTGTATAGACAATTATATGGTGTACTGTCTCACTCGCGTTATTATTATTATTCAATAATATTGATATGGTAAAGTAATATATGCACAAGAAAAAGTGTTAGCATATAGATTCTAGTTGTTTCATTAGTGCAATATACACGCACACATACACAAAGACAAAAGAAGATGAAACTGATCAAGAATTGAACAGAAAATTAATAATCATAATCTGAAGAAAATTGAGGGATATGGGTGGTGAGAAAAATTGGTAAGTATATATGCAGAAAACTATTCTTTTATTTATTCATTTATTACTATTATTATTAGTATTATATATATATATATATATATATATATATATATTCTTGAAAAAGATTTATAGAGAAATTAGTTGGATATAACACAATTCAAGTACAATCTCTCTTCCATATGTGTGTGTTTGTGTGCGCGCTAAGATGACAAAATACAAGTATATATGGTCATTCTAGGACTATTCACTATAGTAATAATTCACGAATTTAACTAGTATGCAAAGAATAATTCTCGAAAAGGATTGAGAAATTATATTACTTTATATCAATATGACATACAATATAAATTAATGTAATATTTGGCTGAATAAAAATAACCATGTATGGATTCTAAGATCATTCATTGACAATGTGAATGATTGGGTAATTATTCACTAAAAATGAGAAATTATTCATTTCAAAAAATAAATTGTTCACAAAGAATTCTTAATTAAATACTTCAGGAAAATCATGAGTCATGACATGATCTGTACATGAAATGAGTGCATTGAATGAGTCAAATATTCATCAAATTGAGATACCTAGTGCATTGGCAAATCTCAAAGGGACCCTAAGGGTCCATGGTTTGTATCCATTGAGATGTCCTCTTCTCACTAGTCACTAAGCCATTGTCTTATTGTTTGTCTATATTTTTACCATATAATGTTATATGCTAATCAACGTCATGTATATGTGACCCTCCTCACCAAACTTTGTAATAGCTAATAGTCTTCGTGCACTGAGCTAGCCTTTATATATATATATATATATAGGTAACGATAAGGATTGTCCCATTGTTATTAAATATATATTACCATATAACAATAATGTGTGTAACCTCTTTCATGTACTGTTTTTGGCATTTTATAATCAAACTCTAGGTTTTGGCTTTTTTTTCAGATTCATTCATATCAATCAAGTTTGAAGAAAATGGTGTTGCCTCGTGGGAAAAGAACACAGTTTCTAAGGTCTCTCTAGAGCACTGCAATAATATGTCCTGGAATCACAGCCTAAGCAAGGAGAGCAAGGAGGCCAAGAGTGTCGTAGAACATGCCAAACCGCGGGCGTCGCTGAGGTGGCGAAAGCGGATTGGGCAACTGTTCCAGCTCATCAGATTGAAGAGGAGCAGTAAAGGGAATGCGTGCCACGTGGGCAGCAAGCTGGAGGGAGTGAAGGTGAGAAATGGATGGATAAGGTTTCTGACCACAAGGAGGAGGACCAAGGAATAAAGGGTTGTACAGAAAGAGACACACTGCTTTTCCACCACCTCCACCACCACCACCACCACCAATTTGACTACTGTAGGGGCTCAGTGTGAATGTAAAAAGTCATATATATCATTGAGATGGTAAAGAGTATTATTACCTTTATCACAACCAAAAATGTGCTTTTGCTTGTATTCTTGTGTCCTTGATTGGAATAATTTCTTAATTGTAAAGGAAGGGGCTGTGAAAAAAAAGCCCAAAGTTGTTTCATCTCTCTCTCTCTCTCTCTTTTCTTGGATGTACATATGTGTACATATACATCGCTCTAAACAATGACAAACCTCCCATGTTAGGTACTTATTTAATTGAAGCATGACACAAGCTGGATTTAGGTGCTCCCATTAGGAAACACACATTAAGGGCACAAGGGCCCATGAATATTGTGCTGGTACTTGTCTTCTAGCTGTCTTTGGGAGAATATCTTTTTCCTTGATCATTCCCTCCTAAAATTCAATTAATTCGTGACAATAATTTTTTATTTTTTATTTTAACGAAGAATTAATTCATCCATCAGTTACTTTGAACTAAATAAGCACTAGTTACTTTCAACTCTTAGATAGTTTTCAAATTTTAGATGCATGCAATCGTCTGAAATTATGTGCTTTAATTAAATAATTTAAATCCACATCGTACTTTCGGCGATACTTGAATAACTTAAGAAAAGTACTATCAAAGACCTTATTAGTCGAATTGCTCTGTGATAAGATATTTCTCTTTAGTTTTGGATAAATTCCACTTACCTTCCCCGACAGTGACATTTTTACCAATTTGCCCATAAAATATTTGCTGGAAGCCCAAGAAAACACCCACAAAATTAATTACTTAAAATATTTGATCCAACCAAATATTTTATGGGCTTAGTAATTTATGGGCTTAAATAATCAGATGATCTCTCTCTTTATTTTTAGATAAATTCCACTTACCTCCCTTTTTAAGTGAAGTTTTTACCAATTTGCCCATAAAATGTTTGTTGTTATTTCAGGTATTAGAAGGGCAAAATGGTCAGGTAGGGGGAATATGTTACACAAATTAGAACCTCAAGAGAAGAGGTGGTCTATATGGTATATTTACAAACCTTAGAAGAGGTAAGCATAATTTACCATTTATTTTTGCTTTAGGGGGCTAATGTTAAAAGTAGGTCTATAGAATTTGATTTTTGTTTTTTTCCCTTCTAAGACTTACACTTGAAGAAAAAGATCGAAGGCTTGCTGGGTAGGGATGGCAAAAAAATCCCCACCCCGACGGCGCCCGCCTCATTTGGTGCAGTTTTGAAGAATCGATTATGTAAATGGGGATGAGATTGAGGGTTACTTTGAAAAACCGTAAGAATTTTGATTGGGTCAGTTATGAGGTGAAAAAATAGAAATAAAGAATGAGATTTTCGCCCCAAACCACTTCATTGTTACCCTATTGGTGAGTGCTTGTTGGTGTTCACATGTGAATGGTCAAAGGGTGTTTGTTTTGTTAGACGTTGTCATTTACATTGTAACAAAGAAGGTTGTGGGGCAATTTGTCCCCAATTCGTGACAACTCTAATCAAGAAGGGACCATTACATAAAAGGACCACCATAGATGTTGAAAAAAGCTCTAATGGGTTGGAAGAAAATGACAAGACATAAATTACATCCAACTCTGACAATCACATACAACAAATATCAATACAAAGATGTGAAGCTGAATTTAGTTTTAGCATAATTCTCTCTGCGATTCATATGAAAATATGACTGGATGATTAATACATCTCCCTTCATGAAAATGACATGGAGATTGCAACAAAAACATGTTAGAGAGAAACAAACAATTCCGTTATTTGGTTTGGTTTAAAAGGCAAATTTGAACAAAAATTTTATTTTTCTTCCTGATTAGGTCAGTACTCACAGGCATTTCACTTCTGAAAGGTTATACCATTGAGCTAGTAAACAAAATCTATCTTGATAATTTCAATGAATCACTTGAAATAACGTGTTTTGAATCCACTGATTCGATTCACCAAAAACACATTTAATGATTAAAGGACTTTTCCATTTATACTTCGAATTTGGTGTAATGTTTCTTTATTGAAAGACTTTTTGATATTAGGAAACTCATCCAAACGCAACCTACAACTTTGAACCGACAGTTTCAGTTTTAGGATTGAGAAAGACAGGATTTTTATATTTTTATAAGTATAAACGTTAGGCACATAACAAACAACTAATCAAACAAAACACACACACATGATACCAATTTCGTGATCAATTATTTTTTAGAACTCAAAGGAAGACATGCCAAAGATAATTCCAACTATCATCTTTATGTTTGCTTGTTTCTCAGAGCAGACCGAGGATTAGTTTTTTTTTTGTTGTGTTTTTATGTGGAGTTAATTAAGTTTGCAAAAAAAAAAAAACAAAAACCACACCAACTATTTAGAAACATAGGCATGTTAGCAGCAGCCGACTCTAAGAATTACACGAGAGGGGTGGCCTTGAACAACAAATATCATTAAAATTTGAGTTGAGACATTTTAAAGATTTTTTCAAATAAATAAAGATATTTTTAAAAATTATAAATAATTTTATAAAAAAAAAAATTTCAGCAGACCGCCCCCACAGACCACTTAATGAGCCCATACCTAATGTTAAATAAAGTCTATGTTAACATATTTAAGTGGTTTTTTAAATTGGTGCATTCATGTTCTTGTTTACGCAGAGAATATTTTGGGTAGACCATTCATATATATATATATATATATATATATATGAAAATATATAAAAGTGTGAGTCACTAACACCAGAGTCCATTACATGAACCTTTTTTTAATCTAAGAAGCATCCACCTGTCTCTTTGAGCTTATGAATAAAAAGCTAGATTTTATAAAATATTCAAGAAATTTTTTTTTGACGGAGGGAGTAATTTTTTTTTTCTTTTCGAATCTATTATATGAACCTTTTAAATCTAAGAAGCATAGATCTTGTATCTCCGTGAGCTTTTGAATAAGAAGTTAGATCTCCAAAACATTAAAAAAAATTTTGGAACGAAGAGAGTAATTTTCTTTTCGATAATCAGGATGTTTCAGATAAATCTCAGACTATGTCTAAGGTTCGAACATAAAATTTAATGCTTCATGAGACACTAAGTTCGAAATTTCAACATTAGAATCAATCAATTGAGATTCATTATTTGTTGTATACCACTCAATTTATTTGTATTTGTAGTTTCTTTCTCTTTGCTTTATACTTTACCTAACTACTTTCTCTGTTCCAAAAAATATGTCATATTTAAGAAACTGTGATTCACTATTCTATCTGTTCTAAATAGATGTCCTGAAAAACAGTGAATACAATAAGATTATTATTATTATTATTATTATTTTTTGAAACAGAGGTAGTATTTTAGAATGTGTATATATGTTTGTGCAAGAGAGAGAAAAAGATAGCGGGATGGGTGGGGACCCCACAACCCTCCCCATCGACACTAATAAACGAGAAAACATGCTTAGAACCATAAAAGCAGCATTTTAACCAAAAAAAAAAAAAAAAAAAAAGCAGCAGCTCCGTTGTAGAGAGAGAAAGGCATCATCCCCTTTTGCAAACTGAAGTCAAACAACTTTTATGAGGCACATTGTTTTTATCAGGGGCCTAAAGGAACACGTACCAAAGCCTAATCCTATCCACACTTCCAAAGTATTGATTATATAATACCAACTTGGACTTTAGACACCTTTGGTAGGCCTCTGTTCCAATAAACCTTTTCCTCCTTTTTCTTGCCCACTTTTCTCTTCATTTCATTCATGCCATACAACAGTCCACATGACATGATTCTTTGCTAGTTACCTTTTAAGGCTGGATGTTGGTATCATTTCTGTTTGGTTTATTTATTTTTTAAAAGGATAATTTTTATTTTTTATTTTTTAATGATAAACAAAACTGTGAATATAAATTTGTACATAGAGATCAAAGTTTTTATATTAATCTCATATTTGGACTGAAATTAAATTCTCATGTTGGGATTTATATGTCTTGGCATAGTGAATTTCTATTTGGATTGAAGTGACATATGTTTCTAACATATCTGAAATATTTATACTTTATACAATTGGTGAATGTATTATATTTCGATTCATTATAGGATTGATAGTGTCCACTTGATTACAAGAGATATTTATATGTATGTGATGACCATCAATACATGAACATAAATAGTAATCATAAAGAGTTCAGAATCAGTAATTATGGATGGACTCATTATTAACTAAGACTTGAACTGGATCCGCGTTAGGTTGAGATATATTACAAGAGCTGTCGTATGCAATTGCTCCCTATCATATTATTTTTGTCAAACAAATGTTTTATTGTGATCAAGACGAAAATAATCAAAGGTATCAAAATAAATATATTAATTTAGTAGTCAGATTGATGACTTTATTTATCCGATGACTAATTATGCATAGAGCGGTCAAAATACAACATTGACTTAGAAGTTATTTATTATTTAATTGGAGTTCAATTAATTTCTTTTAAATGGAGTATAAATTGATTTATGAATTAATTAAATTGAGTCTATAGTATAATGGACCGGACCAATTATTAATTCATTATAACCAAGAAAATAATAAACCCAAAAAATTCTCACTTATAACACAACTTGATATTGGAGACCCATTAGATTTGAGATATCACGTGAGTTTTAGAGATTGAGAAAAATATATTGTCTTCAATTATTATTTTTATTTTGTCTATATATACATGGGGTCCATGTATATTTTAGGTTACGCCTTTGTGTATTAATTTTAGAAGACAAGAAAAGATTTTTCTCTTTATAAGATTTTAGGGTTAGTGTTAGTGTTCTCGTCTCATGGAAGCTCCCACAAGTTAAGCTCTCCAAGGTCATTCATAGAGATTTATGGGTGATTCCTAAAGGCAAGATCATTAGCAACAAGATGAAGATCCAAGGAAAAAGACATCTAACAGAGGGATATACAATAAGTGAGAACATTTACTTTAGAGGAGAGATTTATGCCATGTTTGGTATGAATGAATTGAATCAAATGAAGCAAGAATGGAATATTTTTGTTTTCATTCTTTAGTTTGGTAACTATTTTTAAAGTTGGAATAATGAATCCTGACCATTCTCCGAAAATAGTGATTTCCACTAATTCATTCAATTTTTCAACTAAAGGAATGGTCACTTTTAAAAAATAAATAAATTAAATAAAAAAAAAAACATTTGATGAAACGTCAAAACGTGGCTATGTTTTTCTCTCCTCGCTTTATCGAAGAACTTGCCACTGATTTTTAATTGGCGAGATTACGGTGCCATCACCAGTGTGAAAGATTAGGTTTCCTCCGAACACGTCGATTTTGGATTGATTTAGGAGAGAGAAGCTCTCAACCCACCAAATGATTTAGGATTCTGGATTTCGGATTGACCAGGATTCCTTTGTACACGTTAATTTCGGGTTGATTTATGATTGATTTAGAAGAGAAGCTCTCGACCCACCAGACCTTTCTCTTCACCAGATGATACATTGATTTTGAACTCTAGGGCTTGTGCAATTTTGTGAAGGAATTTGGATTGATTTGTGTGGCTTTGTGGACCGCGAGTCTGCGACGGAAGTTGTTGCTCCTCTATTTGTTCTTCTCTTTTGTTCGGCGAAGTATTCCTGGCGAGAGTTGTGGTTGTGGTGGTGATGACCATCTACATATAAAATAAATTCAAAAACCCTATTTTGCCTTTGGGTTAAGTGCAAAATATGTGTGTGTGAATATAGGTTTTACATATATGTATATATATATATATGTGTATGTGAAAAATAGGATGTTTGATTGTGGTTGTGGGATGGAGGTTCGGCGGTGGGAGAGATTTGACAGGCATTTTTAGAGAGAAATATAAGGCAAGAGGAGGCTATCTGTATTTTCAAAGAATTTGTTTGCAATTTTTTATAAATTTGAATTAATTAATTAATTAATTAATTATATATAACCTTGTGGATACATTGTGTTTGGACTCAGGCCATCAGTCCACTAATCCAGCCCATTCTTCATGGACTTGCCAGTCACTGGCTGAAGCCATTCCATTGTCTATAAATATTGAAAATAAAAAGTAAATTGAAATTAGATTGGATATCAACCAGAATCCTTAATAAACCTTTTTTAATAGGATAAATTTCACTTCCCTAAGGTTTATCAATATCTCACATTAATCCCTCTTTATTTTATAATTTCACTTACTTTCACAAACATAATCTGCGAATGTTAGTAGTAGAAAATTGATAGAATGTCAGTTTTGTCATTATAATATCTAAAATGATCAAAGACAAATATTTCATGGACAAAACAATAAGATTGCATTGTTAACAAGTTGGACAGTCGCCAGTCGCCACTCACACAGACAAATTTGAGGGAATGTACGTTAGTGGGATTTAACCTTTTTAATATTTTAGAATTATGATTTGTGATAGTTGAAATTTATTTATTTATATTTGTTAAATACATACACACCCACAAATACCCAACCAAGGGCTCGAATGAATTTGCTTATTACATAAAAGAGATCTAACAAGTATAACAATAATATGGTATACATGTATATATATATATATATATATATATATATATATATATATATATGTAATAATTGTTTGTGTGCTTGTATAATTAGAATCTGAGTCTTCCAATTCCCTGTGGCAAACCATGTTCAGGGGAATGGGTAGATCTGAATAATTTCCAGTGGAGATATGATCAACAATAATCTTGTTAACTGCCTCAGTGTAGTGAACTCCATCCCAATTTATTCTCTTTGAGGGGTCTTTGCATGATCCCACAAAAATATCGCTTCCATTCACAGTCACAGTACTTCCACAGCCTGCATCGCTATAGTTATATTTCCCGCCATAGCCACAACAAGAAATAGTTGGATACGACAGTCCTGCAGTTTACAAAGAAAATAATCAATGTAAATTAATTAATACGTTACGCATACACACAAATGTTCATGTCATGCATTAGAGAGTTGAACAGCTCAAATTCAACTTGTTGAATGAAATTCATTTCAGGTTAATTAATCAAAGAGAAGTGCTAGATAGTCCCCAGTGCGGGGACGGTCCGACAACAATAGCCAATCACAATTTTCCAGTACTCTTGTGATTGGTTTTTAATCAGAAAAAAATATATATCTATGTGAAAAAAAAAACATTTGTTTTGATTTGTTAAAAACCAATTACGAAGTGTTAGGGAATTGTAACGGGACGACTATGACTAATTCTTCTCTTAAACAAACATATAACTTGGTCTGTTATTTGAAAAGACTTAAGAAAAAATTATATTTATTGTCAGAAGTGACAGTCACAACACTGTTGCTTGTCACAATTTCATTCATTTGTAATCGTTGAATTATTTAACATGAAACATAACGTACCATATTTTTGTGGATGACTGATGATATCATACTTGATGGTGTAGACATCTACATATGTGATTGCAGCTAAAGGAAGGTCTTTCCTCAGCTGAGCAACTGCCTCCTTCAATTTGTAATTGTAAAACTGAGATAACTGATTGAAAGGAATTGCACACCCTACACTGTCGTTTTGAGCCGCCGCCTCCGGATAATTCGTCAACATAGCGGGAAGGCAGCCCATGGGGTTGGTGTTCTGGACCCAAAATGATCTACCTCCCAACTTGTATACATCCTGAAATATCACAATCTCACAGTTATACCAATTCTAATATAATCTCAAATTTCTAATTTTCATTGGAAACAAAAAAATATTCTTAGAATACTCTATCCCGTGTGGAGGGACGCTTTGCACGGGGAGTTCAGAAATTAGTGGGGGCAAAAGCTCCGGATATCCCAAAAATATCCGACTTGCTTGGTTTATAATTCTCAAAACAGTTCTTAAGAATTTAGATAATAAGAAAACTATTTTAAGAGAACTATAAGAGAATGAGAATTAACATTAATTTACTATTTTTTTTGTTGGGCATGTTTGGTTTATAATTATAGAAATAGTTTTCTATTCTCAGAAAACTAAAAACAGTACAAAAAAAACTCAACTTGGTTCAGTTTTATGAAAACTGTTTTCTGAAAACTCAGTTATAAAAATATCTGTTTTCAGATAACAGACTTTTATTATTATTTGAATACCGTTCTCTGTTTTCTGAGTTTCTGAAAACTGTTTTTAGAGTTACAAACCAAGTGGGACATAACTGAGTTTTCAGAAAATTGAACCAAGTATAGTCTTTTATACAGTTTTCAGTTTTCAGAAAACTGTTCTCAGATTTACAAACCAAACAGGCCAACAAAGAAAATAGTAAATTAATGTTAATTCTCGCGAGATTCGTCATAATTACACATGCCTCTCTTCTTACTTGAAAAATTACACTGACTGGACTTCCCAATATACATAGGTTTGTAACAGGTTCCGCTTTTATTAAAGTTCAACACCAGTCAACAATGATTTTTGCTAACATTCAACAATTTGAGATTTCAGAATTAGCATTTAAAAATTACCAAAATTTTCCCTAGTAATTTTGATTTTGTTCAAGTCTTGTAAAATTGTTTAATTGAACTAAAATTTCATCTAGATCATAAGGGCAGAATCATATAAGTTCGTAACTCATTAATGGATCTTTTTTATTTTACATTCTTGTCAATAAACTTACACACCCTCATATGTTAACGAGGGGACTCAAACATTCCCCTTTCACTTTGAAAAATAGAAGAGATATCATTGAGTTCCGCTTGATAATAATTAATGCAGAATAGTGGGACGAATAAGAAAGAAATGCACTAACTACACACATGGCCATAGAAAATACATGATCTGGGATCATGTGGTTCAATCTCAAGGTATCAGTATCACGCAACAAAAAGTTAAATAAAATTGACATATTTAATTACGTAAAAGCTTGTGATTGACCGCAACCACATGATCCCATGTAATAATTTCTTGGCACATACCATCGTCCTTTTATAATGAAGATTACCTTGATAGCATTGGATAACCCATTGATTAGGGTTGGTATAGATGCATTGACTTCCTCTACGGTCCAATTAGCAGAAAGTTCCATAGCCATATCATTAACACCAATATCAAATGTATATAAAGCTTCCTCAAATGAGTCCTCTTCAGGCATTAGATCCTTGAATATCCCTCCTATTAACACAATCAAAATTCATATCAATATATCTTATGCCATATACATACATACGTACATATATATACATACATACATACATATATATGTTTGGTTGCACAGAATTGATTTGAACTAAATGTTCTCTATTTCTAATTTCAAGATATCAATTCTATGCAACTACATATAGCAAAAACTTTATTTAATTAGAACTGTGAAAATGAAACTAATAGTGTTATTTAATGCATAATGTTGGCCTTAAAGATCTTATCTAAAGGACAATCTAATTATTTTGATGATTACAAACCGTTAATGATGTTTAAGTACTAAGATCTTCATTGAGTGATGTATAGATGATCAATATTCAAGGGTAAACCTCAATGATGAGCTATAAAGTGTATTCCAAGCAATGGATACAAAGTGATGAGCTATAAAGACTATCCTGAGTATTCCAAGCAATGGATACAAAGTGATGAGCTATAAAGACTATCCCGAGCATTCCAAGCAATGGATACAAAGTATTAAAGTTGCAAGAAATCAAAGGCATATCCAATCAAAGAAAACTCAAACTACAATGATCATTCAAGCATTTCAAAGAAAGAAAGCAAGTCTTCATCAAGCCTAAACGATCACGGTCAAAGAATGAAGAAAATGATAGATAGAATGGTGAGAGCTTAGGACTTAATGTCAAAGTATATTTGAATACATTTTGAAGCACAAAATTATAGGATTATGCAAATTCATTCTAATTCTGTTTTCAAAAGCCTAAAGATTGCTCATGAACTTCATATATACATTCTCACATGAGCTACACATGATAGGAAGTATATAGGACAAAATTAAATCCATTTTTAGTCATACACAACAAAGGAGCCGCCTCCACGAAAAGTAGAGCAGGCTCTTTTCTGTCCAGTAGCCAAATTTTGGCTCAAGAAGCATACTTCCAGGAATAGAGCCACCTCCCATTTTGAGAGCCGCCTCCATGAGGTATGGAGCCACCTCCATAAGGCATGGAACCGCCTCACAAATGAAAGGGAACCGCCTTCCTTTAAACACAGAGCTGCTTCTCTTTGTGAGATTTGAATCCCAACGGGAATTTTTGCATTTAATGAACTCCAACCACCTTTAACAGCTATATTGAGCTCCAAAACTCTATAAATATAGATGGTTGGTCTACTGAACATTCACACCACTAAAAAGAGCATTCAAGAGTCATAAATATTCTCCTTTGAGCATTCATTCATATCACTTATCCTCTTATATCATCTTAGAGTTTGAGCTTATATCTACTCTAGTTGTAAACTGAATTTGTACAACTTTTCTTTGAGAGAGAAACAATCTTGTACTTTTATTTATATTGCTACAAACTTGTAAGGGTTGGTGTTACCCAAAGGAAGTCGAGGAGAAGAGTGTTCTCCTAGCAAGGACTTGCTTCATTTGAAGGTCTACTTTCCACCATTGAGGAGAAGGTCTAGTGAATTTGGGTAGTCTCAAAGGGGATCTTGAGCCGAGGAGTAGGAGTTTCTAAATCTCGTTAAATCACCGAGTCATTGTTTGTAATTTCTTATCCCTATCTCTTTTATACTTGTGATAGATATTGCTTATCTATCTCAGTTGATTATTACATGATAGTTAGCTAGAAATCATTTTTATAAATTGCGAAAATTGTCCATTGACTCTATTCACCACCCCTAGAGTTAATTAGTGGTTAACAATTAATATCAGAGCCTAATCTCTAGAGAAAGATTTAATCATCTTAGAAAATGATCATGGCCAATACTAATTTTTATTAAGATTGATAATCTAACAATAGACCTCCTTAGTTTGACGGAAATGACTATAACTATTGAAGAATCAAAATGAGAACATTCCTAATAGGCCTAGATATAGATGTTTGGAAAGCCACCGAACAAGGAGACCATATGTGATACCCCTCGATTCTAGAGCCACGGGTGATCAAGTCCGAGCATAGATCCGAGGGATATCAACTGTCAATATGTAAACAAGCATGAATAAAAACTGAATTAAGAATAAATTAATAATATGCTAAAAGAAATCTAAAATAAAAATCCTTAAACTTTAAATAATAAATTAATATAATTTAAATCCTTCAAATCCATATAACTCATGAATCCATCTAGTGGACCCCTAATAATTCCAACTGATAAAACGTTTACAAAATTAAAATCCAAAACTAAAGTAAGAAAGAAAATCCTATGTAGTCAGAAGAGTGAGAGTCTGTATCTGCATCAACACGATCAAGCTCTAAGCCTGGTACTGACGAACACCTGAAAAATAAGAGCGGGTCAGGCCCACATGCAAGTTCCAATCTATTACAATCCGTACATAAACCTGATACGCAGATACATCCTAAATAGCTCAACAATAGCTAAAGTAGTCCATATAGATATAAGTACACACTATAGGACATTCACCAGTCCAGTAGGTCTGTCTCAACCTGAATAGAGATACCATACAAATCACACATAATGTGGTCATGTGTACCTAGACCTACTAGGGAACAACACCTATGTCCAGTTATCCATCCTCGGCAATATACACATCCTAACCGTGATCAGGAGACTCAAGCTCGTACCACGGTACCATAAATATATATATAAATTCCTTCCTAAGATTGAAAAATAAAGCAACTATCCATTATATCGTTCAGCTGTTTTAGTTGACAAAACATGCATCCATGTAAGAGTTAACTGTTTTAGTTAATCCATTCCATATTTATAAATGGGTTAGAATTAACGTTTTGATCTAATCCATCCCTCCGTAAGTCACCGTCCCATACCGGTACATACAATGCAAATGATCCATAAATGATGCATAGTCAATTGAACATCAAATACATCCAGAGACAAACATAATAACAATCAAATATAGATAAGATCCTATTATACATTTAGTATATGATTATAATCATAGATCCTCATTTTAAATTGTTAAAGTAATGGCAAACAATTTAAACCCATCCATTTCCATATAATTGACAAAACAAAAATTATAACAGTTTAGCAATTAACAACCATAGCGCGACATAATGCTAAACAGAATTGTAACTAAACACATTATACCAGAATGCCAAAAACAATACGTCCATATTAGTCCATGTACTTTGCTAAAGCAACCCTAGCAATTAAATCATCCTCAATCCTTGACGACATGCAAATTAATATTCAAATTTCATAACGTCATTTAATCCCCAAATATAAACCCAGAGCATAATATATTGAGGCACAGAAGTATAAACTAAACACATTATATTTGAATGCCAAAACTACCTCCATACTAGCCCATTTAGTTTTCTAAAGCGAGACTAGCAGTTACAACTTCCACTACTCTTGACAGCATATAATTTAGTATCTAAATTTCATGATGTCTATAACTATAGTAGAAACCAACATTCCTGGGACTTAATAATGTTATATAAATCATTGATATAAAATCCCAAAATTACCTTTCAATTTAGTCTATTTAATTTGCTAAACAACTAGCAATTAAATCTTCCTCCTTCTTTGACAGCATGAATATTATTTTTTCTATATTTCATGATGTCCATTCCCATAGCCTACACCAATAAGCCTAGGTCTTTAATGTGTTATAAACATCATTTAAGAACACCCATCAAAGTTCAGCACTGCCTTTTAGCCCCTGGAGTAACAAAAATCACAAAAAAATCACGTACTGGGCACTTACAAAAATTGGAGCCGCCTCCAATTTTAAGTTGAGCCGGCTCCACCCACATTGAAACTGCCTCAACACTTTGTGGAGCCGGCTCCACTTCAATGGAGCCGCCTCCATTGAAGTGTGGAGCCGCCTCCACTTCCCCTGCCTCCGTTTTTCCTTCTCTACTTCCTCTGTGTTGCCTTCTTCGTGTCCGGCAAAGCCTCAGCCCTCTGTCCCACCTTTTGTTAAAGATTTCTAAGGTTTAAATTAAGTCCTAAAAATCCTAGAAACTTCTCCAACTCCAGAATGAATTACTTGACACAGGCTTAAACTATGAACGCAACAGTTTATGTTTTCTCCGTTTGTCTTCTTCGCGTCCGGCGAAGTTCAACCCTCCGTTGTAGAATTTTTTCTTACATTCCTAGGGTTCAATTCAAGTTCATTCAATCCTAGAAACTCCTCAAATTCTCTTGTGAAATTAATGACAAAAATTTAAAACAAAAACACAACAGTTCATAGTTTCAAAAACGAACAGGGGTCTAAACTTGTACAGAGACTTTATCATGCAAAAAACATCCATTTTAATAGTTAAATTAAATTCCTGGAGACTATATAGAATGCACAGAACACAAGTTTACAGAAATGAGATAGAATGAAACTGTGCTAAAAGATTCCGGTTTGAAATCTTCACCGCCGTCTATGGAGTTTTCGACGAACGGACGACTACCGGCAACCTTCCTACTGCTCGATCCAGTTCTATTCCACCATCAACCTCTTCCTTCCTCTGTGGCACACCTACAGTCTATAGCTGAAAGCTCTCTGTTTTTCCCCTCAAACCTCTCTGTTTCTCTCTTCTCTAATTTTCCTATATGTTTCTTCTCAAGATAATATGTCGTAAATAGAATTTGTAACCTAGCAGACCATCCTATCTTATATATATATATATAGGTTACTTTTAAACCCTAATCCTAAATCCAGCCCATTAATACGTCGGCTACCCTATTATACATAAATTAAACCCTAAACTTAATTATAAATACAACACACATAAATATTCTAAGCTACCAAAAATATACGTCAATTAAGTTACGAATAATTAAATAATTAAATCACAAATACACCAATTAAATTAAAACACATAAACCATTACAATTAAATAATTAAAGTAAAACAAATAAATAATTCACAATTAATCAATTATGCAAATAATAAAATAAATAACAATTTCAATTAAACACCTAGCCAGAAAATTACATCAAAGTGCACATAAAACAAATAAATAAATTTCAGTTATATCCTTTTGAGAATTAAATTAATCAATTAAAATGCGCATAAAATAAATAAA